ATCGAACTAGTTAACTGACTGAGTGCCTGACTCTCAAGACTGACCGTGATTAATGCTGTGATTAATCTACAACTTGATTGGTTGATTTAATCGCTGACTGATTGATAGATAATCCGCCAGATAATGAAACTGAATGACTGGATGACTTGGTTGAAGATGAACTAGTTAATTCAATATTTATTTTGTTGATTAAATGTCTTACTGTTTGATTGACTTAAGTTTGGGCTGAATGATTGACAGACATACTTGACTTATGTACTAATTCACAATCTGATTGATCTGATTGATATGGCTGACAGACTGACTGACTGAGTTACTGACTGATTGATAGACTGATTGATTAAATGGATTACCAGTTAACTCATTAAAGATTACTGATTGATGGGCGAAGTGACTGATAGCCTTTTAGTTTGCTGTTGCCTTATTGCTGGCCTCGTTGTCTGATGTACCTGACTGATGGACTGACTGATTGGCAGATCATCTAACAGCAATGATCCGAATGACTCTGTGACTATCTACCTAACTGATTGAACTGATTGAACTCATCAACTAACGGACTGGCTCAACTGGTTTATTTATTGTCTACTGACTGATGATCAAATCAGTTAGCAGATTGACTAACTGATTGTCTGACAGGCTGACTGATTAAACAGCCAATCCGAATAGCTCAAGCTTCAGCAATATGATATATCAAAGTATTACTTTGTTAATTGAATACATTTAAATGAAGCAAAAAGAGGTAATATTCAAATGGAAGAGCCCAACAAAACGCTTTGTTGCTGTTGTTGCTTCTCTTTTCTCTTTGCGGCTTTCGATTGTGGTTTTCGAAATGTTAAATAAATAGAGGTAGGGCGAAAAGAGCAGAAAAAAAAGAGAAAAGTCGCGTGACGCCTTGCCACAAAAAAAACAAAAGGAAAGAGGAAGATGTAGATGTAGAGGAAAGCATGCTGAAGCTGGTGCGAATTAAACAAACTGCGAGCTGTGTGCTCACAGCTGTAGCTAGAGCCAGGCAACGCCGGTTATTAACTGCTTGAACAACAATACAACAAAAGCGATTCATGGGAATGCATATTTTGGTCTTTCTCGGCGGATTATGTAAGGCACGTTAGAAACATGACTGTGACTGTGACTGTGACTGCGACTGTGACTGCGACTGCGACTGCGGCTGCGACTGTGTGCGTCATAAACAAAACGTATCCGCAGAGACACAGCCAGAGCTAGTCAGTCAGTCAGTCAGTCAATCTGTCAGTCAGTCTGTCCGCCTGTGAGCCATTCAGTCAGAGATGCAGCTTCAGGTGCTGGCTGGCTGTTGCCAGTCTGAATGGGTGTCAGTCTGTAACTAGTACATTGATATTGATGCGAAAGCGCAACAGCAACAGCAACAGCAACTGCAACAGAAACTGCAACAGCAGTAAGAGCATCGGATGCATTCTCGCTACTGTCTGTCATATGGAAACTGGAATTTGAATCCGGTTGCGTTAGCTTGTCATTCCGTCCGTCAGTCCGTCTATCTGTCCGTCCGTCTCTGCTGTCCGGTTGCCTTTTGTCCTCTGATTTGCCTCTCTGTCTCTCCACTTTGGCAAATTTTGTTGTATGCTATTTATTAAATGCCATTAAAGCCATTTCTTTGCTTTAGCCTCTTTTGGCGCCAGCCACCCATGCATCAGTGTAAGCGGTAAACAGAGACAAAGTTCAAGAGAGCGAGAAAGGGAGTGGAAAGTGAGAGACAGAGAGAGAGAGAGAGAGAGGCGTAGGGCTGGGACATAGCGCATAGTAGAGTGTGTTGTCAGGTTTGTGCCAAAGCTCTGCTCAAATGTCAAAAAGTACAAGCAACACACACAAACAACACACACACATACACACATACACATACACAGAGCAGACATATAAGAGGAACACAATAATAACAGCATAGAGCGCAATCAACAAATTGCATTAAATGACTTTGTGTTGCTGTTTGATTGTTGCCGTAGTAGCTGCAGCAACTTCAACAACAACAGCAACAACAACAACAACAGCTGTCAGTTGCAGAAAAGAAATAAAAAATAAAAAGAAGAAAAGGCGAAAAAGAAACCAAAGCGAAATGGGAAGTGAGAGAAACTGCACATTGACGGGCTGTTTGTCACGCTGTTTGTCACATGACTGCACTAAACTTGCACTTGGCCAGCAGTGTGAGCGAGAGAGACAGAAAGACAGAGAGAAAGAGAGAGAGAGAGAGAGCAAAGCTGAGCTAAGCTGAGCAATGCGAGCTTTTAATAACTAGATAAGCGATTATGACGGCCATTTAAATCATTCGCTAACCGCATGAACAGATTCTGAATACACACACATACACACACACATACACTCACACGCATACAGCAGCCCACTGTTTTAGAGATCCACTTAAAACAATTTGATCATCGTCGCTACAAACACTTGCCCCTCCCCTCGCCATAAACTTCTTGCCCCGCGACTGGCTGTAGCTAACGATCTACCATGTCTGCCGCACTGCCACGCCCGCTCTACTGCCTGCCCGCCTGCATCAAGGGCGCGAAACACAAATCTCTGGCGCGCACATTAAACGTTTCACTTAATTAAAATCAACGGCAAAGGCAACGGCAACGGCAACGGCAACGGCAACTGCAACAACAACTGCAGCACGTTGCCCCTCTATGCTCACACACACATATACACACAGACAGTTTTTCGCCATCTCATGTGTGTCTGGTCACTAATAGTCTGTACGTATAGTTAACAGGAACAACTACATACATACTGACAACATTTATAACAGTTTTCAGTTGCTGTTGTTGTTGTTGTCGTCGTCATTCTCCCGCACTCGGCAAAGACGTGCCGTGCCGGGCGCTTCTCTATGTGAATAATGACTCGAAATTGCGCTTATTAAGACTTCCTGATTCATAATTTCGGGCAGCGGCAGCAACTAGCACAGAGTGAGAGAGAGACAGAGACAAAGAGAGAGAGAGAGATAGACACAGGAATTATTTTAAGGGCGAGCCAGCACCAAAAAATTTACCAAACTAGGTGACTCTCTGTGTGTGTGTGTGTGTGTGTGTGTGTTTTAGTGTGAGTGTATGAGGGTATTCTAGTTTCCTAGCAAAACTCTTGAGCCAGCTTAAAACTCTTGATCAATGTGATATGAAATAATATACTATATCCAAATATTTACATGTTTATTAAGGAAAACAAAAACTGCATTCTACCATAATATCATGCATTATCTATATATACAGTTGAATATTCCATACAGACTGCATTGCCCTTGACGTTTGACGTTTGACATAATTTCTTTTAGTTTTTTGTCTTTCAGCATTTTATCAAAAGTTTTGCGCCCGCAGCAAAACTTTGTGCGGCTTAGTTTATCCCACCCTCAATTTTCAACTTTCTCTCTTTCTCTTCACTAGTCATTATATGTATGGCTATCCCTCTCTCTCTCTCACGCACTCTCTAACTATCACTCTCTCTTTCTCGCTCTCTCTCTCAGCGACTTTTCCTCCATATATGTGAATGTGTGTGAATTGTTGTTGGTCATGCTGCGGGTGCAGATTTTCTGAGATACGAACGAGACTCCCTCTTCAAAAAAATATAATAAAATATATATATATAACTCTCTGGCAGGGAATACATGCCATGTAGCCATCATTTTTTGTGTGCCACAAGTTTGTAATGTTATTAAAATGCATTTAAATATGTGCTAGGCAAGCTGTCCAGCATTATTATGGCATATGATGCATGTCAACGGGCCCAATTGGGCAGCGAAGGACAGTGGAACCTGGCTTTAGTGGACTTTTCTCTAGGTGACTTTCATATGAGTCAAATTAAGAACTTTATCTTTTCCTGATCTCAGCATAGTCGCATTTTAGTTTCACTTTGATTCTGTCTATATAAAATCATAAAATTGTGGCCGGAAATCGAGCTCAGTGCACCCTGCACATTGGGCGCTGGGTGATTTGAGGCGTGGCCCTTGCCAATATTATTGCCAACAATCGTTTATAAGTTATGCAAGAAACAATTTGCATGCAAATCGAAAGAAAGGCAACAAATTGGATTTGCGCTGCAATTTATGCACTCAAAAGAATGCCTAATTGGAAGATAGTTGAAAGTCAAGCTCGAATCTATCACATATCTATCATATACCTATCCATAATATATCTAACTGATAAGTCTGATGTTAGTGGGTCTATTAAGGCTGCGTTTATTCACGGCGTGGCACAACCCATAACGTATGCACTGTACAGATTGAGTCAGTATAGCATAATTTAGTTAACGGTGGATATGTTTCTTTAAGCAAATATATATTAATTTTCTTTATTTTAACATTTTACATTCAGCAGCGCCTCTTCTATGAACGACCTACTTTCAATGCAATTCTGTAAAAAACAATTCTCTTGTTTGTAGAAGACAAAAAGTATTCAGTAGATGGAGCTAACATCCCTTCATTTTAAAACGGTAACTGCTGTGGTTTCATTCATTTTGGTTGTATACCCGGAACCCATTGGAAATAGGAAATCAGAGTATACATATTTTTTGTCAAATGTAACAGGCAGAAGGAGGCGTGACAGACCCCACTAAGTATATACAAATATACTTTATCCGGGCGACATGCTGAGTAGATTTAGCCCTATCCGTATGTCTCTCTGTCTCGACCATCCGTCCTTCCGGGTCGATCTCAGAAGATATGTATGTATAAAGGTTAAAGAAATTTATTGTCTAAGGTTCCTCGATATATACGAGTGTATATCGAGTTTGTTTAAATGAGATGAAACTAAATGAGACTAATACGTAGTTTATAGAGTTTCGATTCATCTTATCCGTTTTTGTTTTAGTACATACGTACTATTTTCACCAATACAACTACAATATTATAATCTCCCAGCTAGAACCCGTATACTACAAAGTATTCGGCTTAAATAGTTCCAAGACAATACAACCCAAAATACGCTTTCAGTATAAATATAAATGTATGTATAAATCTCATAAGGTAAACCACATTATGTGTTTTATATATTATTGAGGATTATGCTGGGAGTCTTACCTGGATTATGGCGAAGTCGCGACTCGCCGAGCAGCGAGGCTGCTGCTGGTGCTGGAAGGAAGCTATCCACGTTGTTTAGGGCCACGATGGCCAGTGCTAGGATCAGGATCATTTGGGTGCAGCGACTGCTGATGCAGCTGCTGCTGTTGCTGCTTCTGGTGGTGCTGCTGCTGATGCTGCTGCTGCTGTTGCAGCTGGCTCTGTGTGGGCTCAGCTGTGGTATGTGTTGTTGTTTTCTGTTGAGTGTTGGTGTTGTTGTCGCCTTCGTTGTCGCTGTTGCCGTGGCGGGTGTTGCTGCTCGCAGTGTTGGTGGGGGCCACCGGGAGCGCTTCTTGGCATTGTTGGGAGGTTTGCGGCCGCATCCGAATCCAATGCCCACGGGCGTCGGATTCATTTTGGCGTTGTCTTTGGCCACTTCTCAGTTGTTGTCTCAATTCGTTTGCACTGTGTTCTTGATATACTTCTGTTGATTTTCTCTAATTTAGATTAACTTCTCTTTGGCTCTGTTTTCAGCGGCCGTGCGCACTTTCTAACACTGCACTTGGCTGCTGGCGTTGCACTCTTTCTATTGAAAACGATACATATATATGTAAATACTATCGATTATGATGCCGCAGCGACGACGATCGATTAAAAAAGCAATTAACGGTGCTCAAATGCAGTTCATGCACTGATATATATGTATATATCTGTTTATAAGTATTCATGTAAATTAATTTAAAGTAGTTCAATCAGTTTTCTCTTTTATGCAGATACGCAATAGAGATACATACATATTTGTATGTATGTATATCTTTAAGCTCTGTTGCAACTGCCTGCGCTTCTCCCTAGCGTTTAACCGCTGCCCTGCTCTTTCCCCTTACTCCTTCTCTCTCTCTCTCTCTGTCTCTTACACTTTCTCGCCAATTCTTATGCTCTTGCGCCCCCTCTCTATCCCCTCGTCTCTTTCTCTCCCGCTCGCGCTCTCTCTTTTGTCGTTTTTAACACTTTTTACAATAATTGAAAAACTTTTTGCCGTTTTATGTGAACTTTTGCCGTCGACTTTGCGGGCGGCAACGTCGTCAACTTTTTTTTATCAGCACTCAAAAATTAAAATTAATATTGCACTTTATGTATATGTATATGTATATATATATATATATATGTGTGTGTGGCAGACAAAAAGAGAGCGAGCTAGAGAGAGGGTGAGAGAGATGGAGAGAGTGAAAGCAAAGGCAAAAAGATTATGCGTTGCATTATTGTTGAGCCGTCGGTAAATCCATTACAATTTAAGTTTGTCCGCAATATCTGCAATGAGAAAATTAAAATAATACTTAGATTAATTAAAGCTCAAATTGAGTGTGATTAAGATGAGAATTACGTGGCATTTTATGCATGCATATACATACATACATACATATAAATGGTTTACATAAATACAGTTTGCCATGGAAATGGATAAAAAGTGAACTTTTGACCTTTGGGAGTGGAAAATGAGATTCGTTCAAATCATTTGATTTATGCTCACGTGCTCAGCTACTGTTAGACGAGTGTATGTATTATGTTAACTACATATATATACCCTGTAAATGAGCAAGAAGTTAGCCCAAGATTCTATTGTAGAGCAAGGATGGGAAACAAAAGACCTTAGTGAATTGAATATATGTACATGGTATATGATGAAAGTAGAGCTGCACTACTCAAATCTTAAGCCAAGCCAAGTTATAGCCTTTTCATTTTAGGACAAAGGGAAGAAAGAAAGTTTAATCAAAAGTTCATTAAATGCTTGTTCCTTTTACGCCCTCATATAAGGAGTATATCAAAGTCGTTCACTAGTTATTTTATGCCAAACACAGATACACACACACACACATAAATGCTTGCCCAAATTCATGCTCATTCTTGTCCATTATCTCAGCATTAGGCACAACACAATGGGAGGCAGTAATAAATGACGTATTTATTTAACAAAAGTGCCTCCGCTTAGGAATTACCGCATCCAAAACACTTCAAAAACGAAGACGGAAAAAAATATATATAAATATATGTATGTAGAACATTGTAAAGATTCCGTTAAATTAAAGCACAAATGAAATGCACGCAGCGAACGCAACGAAAGCGAAAATCAAAATCAAAATGTATTAAAAAAAATGAACCACAATGAGATACAAAAGCAGCAGAGATCATAATAAATGGCGGCACTCGGCGAGACCAGCTCCCGCCCCCTGCTTAGGGGAGCAAGAGCGTGGGCAAGAGTGGGGGCAAGAGTGGGGGCAAGAGTGGGGGCGCGGTGCTTGGGTACAGCACCTTCAAGTGGAAAATAGGCCCACAAAGAAGCCACAAAATAACAGCAACAGAATCAACTCTCGACTCTAGACTGTGGTGAGCAACAACAACAACAACAACAACATGAGGAAGAGCAATGGGCGAAAGGAGGGCGAAATGCAATGGAAATTGGGACGGAGCGAGAAACGGATGTCGGGCAGGCCGAGCGACCGCGCGACCGGCCGGACGGACGGAGCGACGGACCGATGGACCCAAGCGAATGCCGACGATGTCGTCAACAGCGCCCAGCCCAACTACGACAACAACAACAACAACAACTACAACGACAACAACAACACAAAAGAAATTGCTAATGTGAGCAAATAACGGCAAATGGCGCAAATAGAAATACGCACGCACACATACGCATCCATTGTGTTGGCTCTCGCTTGCACCAACTGCGGAATTTCCCTATCGCCATTGCTCTTTCTCTTCTTTTTCTTTCATTCTTTTCTCTCCGTGCGCCTTCGGCTTCAAAGACAATTGAAATTGAAAATCAGTGAAACCTGTTCTCGCACACGTAAAATCAACACGCACGCAGCCGTTAGCTTTCGGGGCGACCGAGCGCAAGCCGTAACAAGTAAGAGTGTTCTATTGGGGATGTGCTCGACTCGCAGATACCCGGTACAACAGATTAAGGAAATAAATTAACCAGGCTTCGTCTCCTCAACACTCTCTGAGTAAACGAATTGTCAAGGTTCAAACATGTCCAGAGATCAGGAGCAAGTAAGAGAGTTCTAATAAGGAGGTGACTGACTTGGGAATACCCGGTACTACAATATTTTAATAATAATATGACACCTTTTTTAGCATTCTCAGAGTAAAGGGATCGTCACAGCTCAAACTGTCAAGGGATTAGGAATAAGTAAGAGAGCTGTAATAGTTATATGACCGACTCGAAGACACCCGGTACTACATTAATTATTTATCAAGCTGCTTAAAATGCTTAAAACTTGTCAAGAGAACCTGAAACAATTAACAGTTTTCCAATAGGAATATCATCGACTCGAAGACACCCGGTAGTGCCTTATATTAGTCAATTACTAATATAGCTTTGACCAACTAATTCTTTTTTCAGCACTTTCATACCCACTTCGACAGTAGTTAAATAGGGTATGAAAGATACAACTCGATTCAAATTTGCCCGGTCAGAGCCTTGAATCAAGGAGTGCGTGCGTCTTCCATACTCACACATTTCACGCAGGTATTATTTGTAAAAAATTTGCGTGGCGCTGTAAGTGCTTGATCTCACATAATTCTAATATCCAAACCATGCCTAGTCAGTGCCCACGCTGGGGGGGATGTGGGGATGCGCGGCAAACGTGAGAAAAGCGCGAAGCACGGCTGAATCGCTTGACGCACCTGTCCGACGCCATTTGGGGGGAGCGCAGGAGCAGAGCGCAGCGGGCATCGAAATTGGTATCGGCCGCCGTTTTGGATGTCATCACGGCTGGAAATTGAAATTTCAAGCCAAGGGGTGCGGCGAGCGTGGAGAGCCAATCACGCGCCTATCTTGATGCCGGTCTTAGATGCTAGCTACGCTTCCGTACGACCGTCCGCCCTCCCGCCATGCCCCCGCTCAATTTCCCCCCTAAAAATAATTTCGAGCTGGATTTATTGTGCACCTCTCAAAGCCGCGCTAATGTGCACGCTGAAAAGCGAGGAGAGTGGCATAGACACACACACACATACACACACAGCCACCTCCTAGGGGCGGTTGGCGGTGGTGCTGGTGGCTTTACTTTCGTCTTCTGCTCATTTTTATGCCAAAACACCATCCAAAGTGTCGGCCAATTTGCCAAGCTGCCGTTGACGGCATCAGGTGCGCATTATGTCAGAATGTGAATTATAATAAACAAAACGAAAGAACGAAGAAGGCAGCGAAAAAGTGAATAGAAATAATAACATAAAATATATTTAAAAGCTTCAAATTTGAATTTGCGGTATCATGGCAAAAGCATTTACAGCAAATTGCTTCGACGAGTATTGGCATATTAATACACACATACGTAAGTGTATGTATATACATATTGATATATAATAAATAAAGTCTTGAAGTATATTTGAAGTCTTTGCGCTGTCTGCCCGGCAACTTTTATGCAAGCTGATGTCATATCATATCATCTCATTGAAATCATTTATAAGCTCTTATACTCAAGATAATACAGAGAATAGCAAGACAGTTGGATAAAATCTTAAATATATTCTAATGGAATATAGAAATGATAGAAATCGCTTATTGAATTTTATTTCCAAGTTATCATATAAGATAATCAGACAGTTGGATAGGAAAGTTGGATACACTCCGAAGAAACATATATACGACTCTGATTGAAACCATATATAAACTCTTGAAATCAAACTATCATATAGGATAAGTAATTGGATAAGATCTAAATATATTCAGAAGAAATATATATTGGATAGGTAGGCAGTTTGGTAGGACTTTAAATATTTGTGTATTCTAAACAAACGTATATTTTATTGACTAAAATTACTTTTAAACTCGTATAATCAAGATATCTATTATATCTATTAAAGGCAGAGAGTTGGATAAGACCTTAAGTAAGTATATATTCTAAAGAAATACTTCATACCCTGGGATTATGCAAGATGGTTACATCACAGCCATAATTCCAGGGTATTAACACAGCCGCAATTATAGGCAATTACGTTTCAAATCAACTGTCCATAGATACCTACATATACATATAGGCATACATACATATACATATACGCATATATAGTATATATGTGCTTGCGATATCTTGGATATTGTGTTTTCGCACAGCAAACTGGCTGTTGAGGTCGCGTTTTAGGCTTACTCATCAACATGGCCAACGGCGAGATTGGGCCAGCAGCTGTCTCTGGCCAGTCAGCAGAATTGGCAGTCTGCTTCTTCTTTTGACCGGCTTTGCTTTAGCCAACTTTAACGTGCTTTCATTGCGAGCGCCGCCATTTGCGTGTGACAAATTGTACTAAAAATTCAATGGCTCAGATTCACACACATACACACACACACAAGCATTATGAATATAGACTTGTATGTAAAGATGTATATGTTTAGGTACATGAATACATAGGTAAAATGCTTTCTTGGGGTTGCCGCATTCAATTTTTTATTGCTGCTGAGATGATGATTTTTTTTCTTCTTCTTCTTCTTTCTTTTGAATACCCTTACTCGGAGCACATTGGGAATACATTGAAATGATAGCTTGAGAGTTTATGAAGACTTTTTATGCAGTGGGATCAAGCATTTTC